TCATCAGTTCATCAGGTCATCAGTTCATCAGTTCACTTCAGGTCATCAGGTCATCAGTTCACTTCAGGTCATCAGTTCATTCAGTTTGATCCTCGTTGTGAAACATGAGGCTCTGCTGTCCATGTCTGTGATTGGTCATATGCAGTAAACCCTGCCCACTTTTCTGTGCACACGCTCAGAGTTAACGAGTTGATAACATGCGTCATGCGTCATGTGGTCGTTAGGTTAACGTTCATACCTGAAGCTGCAGCCGTGGTCACCTGAGGCCGAACCTCCTCGCCGCCCGCAGGCTGCGGGGAGGTGACACCTCCACCTGTTTTCGACTCTGAGGACACAACACACTGTTGTTACACACTTTGACCTGAAGGTGGCGTCACAGAGTCCTGTGTTACGACCTAATAAGAATGTTCCTGCTCACCTGTGCTCCTTCCTCCAGCTGTGTGACCTGTGACATCACGTTCTGTAAGAGAGAGAACAACGAATGAAGAGAGGACAAAGCCGACACTCGTTAATCTTCCACTGAATCTGATTGGCTGACGAACCTGGTTTGTATTTGCAGATAAAGTTGTGTTTCATGTTGCAGCGGTCATCGTTCCATTGGTAGAGATAAGCCCCGCCCGGACCAGGAAGTGCTGTTGGCTGATGGTACATGACGACGCAGGCCTCTCCTCCACAGGACGGCTCGTCAGAGTACCAGTTCCTATGACATCATCATCAGTATAATTACGTGATTTCTTGTTGTGTTCTGACATGTTTACGTTCTGACGACAGTTTCATAGTGCGTCACTACTTCCTGCTGAGCTCAATGTGATTGGACGCTGGGGCGGGTTTGTGGGTCTGATCACCTGAAAGAGGCGGGGCTACCGTCGGTCCACTGGTAGAGCTGCGGACAGGAAGTAAAGGTGTTGCTGAGTTCAGGAGGAACCTGATGGTCTCCGTCCACACGAGTGAGACCGATCCAGAAATCTCCGTCAGCTATACCTCCGCCCTCTGCACCTCCTCCTGCCCCGCCCACTGCTCCTGAACGCAGCTCCTGGAGACGAAGAGGCCGGAGATGAAAAAGGAGATGGAGGAGAACATGGAGGAGGAGATGGAGGAGGAGGTGACCAAGTGTGTGTGTGTCACCTGCAGCAGGTTTTCGATGTCCGTCTGCTCGGCCAGACTCTCGATGCTGAGCAGCGACCCTCCGTGAATCTCACAGGCCCGACACGCCTCCCTGAACGCAACACGACTCGACACGTCGTGGAAATAAGCGATCTTATAGCAGGGGCGGTCAGGAGCACCTGAACACACCTTCTGACCTGAGAGACAGAGACGGGCTTCAGGTGAACCCTGATCCAAACCAGGAAGCTGATCTTCTTCTGATTGGTCCGTGAGTACGATGCTTCTTTCTCACTCGACCCAAACAAAGAATATTCTGCTTCTATTGAAACTAACTGTGACTGTTAACGTGAAAGTTACTGTTGTCATCATCAAACATCCAACACGTGTGTGAAAGCATCACCTGGAATGAACATGCAACCAGATCAAAGCCAATCACAGGCTTTACATAAAGATAGATGACTGCAGTTATAAACCTCCTCCATGTTAGAAGATGGGACATGCACCATACTAAAAAAGGAATCTGATCAGTTTCGTTTGAATTAGTTATTTCCTGATATAAAAACAGATGTCATGATTGACAGCTGAGACTGACTCAGGATTGGTTGAGGCTGGCTCCGTCATGTGCTGCAAACCGGATTCTTTTGAGTGGTGGAGGAGAGGAGGACGCTGATGTTATCCATCATGGACAATCAGGACCACCCTCTCCACCACCTGGTGGACAGACAGCAGAGCACCTTCTCCAACAGACTGGTTCAGCTCCGCTGCCACAAGGACAGATACAGGAAGTCTTTCCTGCCCACAGCAATAAGACTGTACAATATACAATCAAATATCGTCATATTTATTATTTTAGGCGACGTGTCATTACGTTTATTTACTATCAATATTTATTTACAATCGTCAGACGTCAGTTCACTCAAGTCACGCTTCAGTTGTCGTGGTCACTGTTGAGTCTGGATCATTTCCTCTGGATTTAACACGACTCGGCGAATAAACAAGCTGAGACAAGGAAAAGGAGGAGGAGGCATTTTCACAACTTCTAGAAACTAGAGTCGTGTGTGTGTGTGTGTGTGTGTGTGTGTGTGTGTGTGTGTGTGTGTGTGTGTGTGTGTGTGGCTGCAGTGATTAATACAGTCTGGTTAGCCTCACACACACTCAGAGCTACTTTAAGTGATTAGCTGGATTCTCTTCTGCACCATCATCACTTTACTGTTAAAGCCACTAAAGAAAAAGCTCCATATATATCTGTCTCCCTCCCCCCCACCCCCCCACCCCCTCCCTCTAACTCATCACTGAACCACAGTTAAACCAGAGCATCGCTCAGTTCACACCTCCACCAACAATCTGCACCAGATCACACACATTCATCAGTGTGATTGTTTGATATTACAAATGTTCACAAGAAGAGAAAATCCTGGATCTGATCCAAGAACAGACCGATGGACAGACAGATGGGTGGACGGATAGATGGACAGACAAGATGTTATATGGGGGTTAGTAGGTAACAAATGTGATGATAAAAAATCTTCAGAAGCTCAGTTTGATTTACTTCCTTCTTGTTCGGTTCGTTGTCGGGGGAGGACCAACATTAATGTCTTTTCTGCCTTTGACCAATCATAAAGCGTCCTGATGGAGCCGAACTGAGTGGACGGAGGGACGGAGGGTCCAAAACCGAGGAAGCTGTCGAAGGTAATTATCTTTCAGTTTCACTCAGGTCAAAGACTAAATAATGACACGTCTTCTCTGCATCTTGTACGAAAATGAAGCCAAAATATCTCAGATACAAACGCTGCCATCTTTGGGTGATGACGAAATTTACAGTCAGTCTGTGCAGTAGGGATTGTGGATCGAGGCCTCGCCCACACTCACACTCTCGACCAATCCTGAGTCAGTCTCCGCTGTCAATCGTGACGTCTGTTTTTATATCCTCAATAACTGATTCAAACCAAACGGATCAGAAACATTGAACAAACATCAGAGAGAACGAGCTGAAACGACAGAAACATCTTTGACAAACATTTATCAAATGTTCACGTCCCATCTGCTAACATGGAGGAGGAGGTTTATGAGCTATACTGCAGCCAGACACCAGGGGGCGATGGAGCTGTTGTGTTGCTCATCTTTATATACAGTTTATACTCAGTTCTTCTTCATCTGTTGTTTCACTCAGATGTGTATTGAATGAATCCATGGGTTATTATGGGATGTTTTTCACAGAATTAACAGAAATTAAAGATTAAAAATTATAAACATCAAAAACTTCTTCGCAGGTTTAATTTGAGAAATGAAGTAAATTAATTGATCAGACGATTTTAATGAGTGAATGAGTAGAAAAACTTTAAAATGTTTAAATTTTACTTCAAAGATGTTTAATGCTGTTCGGTCAAAATCAAGCTCAACATGTTTTAATCTGTTTAGTTTAATTGTCATTGAATGAACTCGTTATTTTACATCAGGAGGATTCAGTGGATAAACTGAACCATTTAAAAACAGTTTATCTTTATTTGTGTTTCACGTTTAAACATTAAATGTGAAAAATATTAAAGTTCACTCAGTTTATTTATTTAATTGCCACCCTCAACCGAACCTTAAAATAAATTAATTACTAAAATCAACATCTCGATAAATCTCTAAATACTTAACACAATTGGGTGATTCACAACAAACTTTTATTTTCTTAACTCACCGCTCAGCACCCGAGCTCCATCCACCCAGGCGACCGTTATCGCCATGACAACCGTGAGGACCCGCAGCATCACCGGGTGAAATAACATCGAGAATAATTATAAAAATAAATGTTTCTGTAGAGATTTTATCTCACAAACGTTTGAAATGAAAGTCCTGCTCCTGGTTTGTCGTGTCCATCTTTGCTCGTGTTTCTCTGATGAAGCGAAGCTGCAAATGTTTTTCTGTCTGTGAACGCTGCTCACATCAAACCCCTCCCTCACCCCTCCTCCACCCCTCCCTCACCCCTCCTCCACCCCTCCCTCACTCCTCTGGATCGATCGGCCCCACAGGGCCCCAGATGTAACCTCCTCTTTCATTAAGCCCTGGGGGGGCCACACACACACACACACACACACAGACACACACACACACACACACACACACACACACAGAGTTTAATTCACCTACAGCAGTGGTCTATTCATGCCCCCCCACACACACTCCTGTGATTTTGTGTTAAACTCTCTCTTTGATCCGAGTGAATTTTATTTATGTTGATTCGTGTTCACAATAAAAAACTGGAACTGAAAATGTTTTTTATCACTGATGAAAACATGCGTTCACTGATCACAGTCACTTCTTTTATTTTGAAAGAATAGGAGCATATCACAGTCACAGCTGCTTTTATTTTGACCGTTTTGAGATTTATAATCACTTTTTCAAAATTTTCACAATAACAAAAAATGGAAAAAATAAAAGCACAGATTCATGTCGAGAAAACATGAACGTGTGAATTGTGTGAATCAGTGAACATGTGAATCAGTGAACGTGTGAATCGGTGAACGTGTGAATCAGTGAACATGTGAATCGGTGAACGTGTGAATCGGTGAACGTGTGACAGCTGATGATGAAAATCTTTGTGTTGAGTGAAACGTGAGCTGTGATGTGACAGAGACACTTTATTCTTCCTCTCATGCAGAATGGAAATCAATAGAAGCCTGAGCTGTTGTAATGTCGCTCACTCGTCTGAATCGACTGCGTGTGGATGGTCCCTGAACGCAACACGGAAACATTCATTGGCCAAAAAAACCTTTTCACCCTCGTCTGTCTCCGTCCGTCCATTAGTGTCCAACTGAGTCGTTGTCCTGTCACTTTTTATTCTGGACATCTTTCAGGCACGTCCTCTCGTCCTCTGAATTTTTAAAGCTGCTCAAACTGGAACATTTGAAACATTAACAGATTCTAAATAAATCACTTTTCCTGTCGTGACCTTTAGAAGTAACCGGAGGCCACAGTAAATCCTGTAATGCGCCCTCTAGTGGAATAATCTGGTAACATGTTATACACACCAGGTGTTTTCAAATTCTTATTCTAATTATTTCTGAAGCAGAAATCGGACTCATCGTCGTTCAGTCGTTTCTTTTTGGTCCATTTTTTTTTACGTCTGATGTTTTCTTTGTCGGAGCACCTGATTGTGTGTGTGTGTGTGTGTGTGTGTGTGTGTGTGTGTGTGTGTGTGTTCCAGTATCAGATCACTTTACTGACACACTTAGACTCTGATGTCATTAACTTTCCTCTGAAACTGAATCTTTAATCGCTAACACTCAGATTATGTTCTGAGTGTTAGCGGAGCTGGAGGTACTCTTTAAACGTCTAACGTTAGCTTGTCTCTGGTGATGTTGGGCTAACGTTAGCTTGTCTCTGGTGATGTTGGGCTAACGTTAGCTTGTCTCTGGTGATGTTGGGCT